TATTAGGTATATTTTTCGTTTTATAATATAATGTTCGAATAAAGTAGTTTTCAAAATATCTCGAGATTCGCTGATTTTACATCCGAGCAAAACTAATTTAAAGTGGAATACAAGAATATGAGTGACGTTCACAAATTATAAGAAATGGCGACATATACCAACATAAACATTATTGAAACCGAAGTCTTACTCTTCAACAATAACTAAGTCAAAATGCTGAATCCTTACTACTTTAGAAAGGAAATAGAAAACAAGGAGTTGGTTGAACTTCTAAAGAAACACAATCACAATTAAGATATAGTTTTACCTATTTTCTACTCTACGATTGTAATATCAAAACCAATATTTTTTTTAAAAAAATATATCTTATTTTAGTAACTTATATTTCTTTTGTTGCTATTTTAATAATTATTTTAGAAGATGGAATGTTAAATAGGGCCATTTTTGAAACAAACTAAACTTCAAGGTTCGTTTTTGTACCTAAAAATTTTGGTTTCTGTTTGAAGGCAAAAATTGTGTATGATTCGGGAAGAAAAGTCTGAAAATTTGCTTAAATCCACTTTTGTTACGATAATTTATTGTTAATATTCATTCGAATAAATCTTGAATAAAAATAAAAAATCTTGAATAGATGAATCTTTTTTTAACAATAACTAAACAATGCACAAGTGTTATTACGTTCATTGATAATAAGCCGTTAGGGAATTTCTATTTTTTAAATATTTAGGATTGTTTTGAAAAAAAAAAATATTGCACACTCGGATTCATTGGATGTGTTCACATAGGATAGTTACCTCAATTTGCGCACTCAGTCTTTGTCTTAGTGTTGGTCTTGCGCAAGAGTCTAGCAACAGTCTTGCAGTTAGCTATTAGCTTATTACTGTAAGATAAGAGATACCTAGATATAAGAGATTGAAATGAGAAAGTATATTGGTTATACCAATTCTTTGCATATAGTAACTAAAATTGTCAAGTATTAGTAACTAACTATTTTGCCTTAATGTATACTCTAAAAATCGATTTTTTTTACCGGTCTTGGTCTTGGTCTTGGTCTTGCAACAGTTAGGCGGTCTTGATTTTTGGCAAAACTAGTTATGTGTACCAACCTATGAATTATTCTTTGAGGGTAGTTAGTAGACTGACATATCATGAGTGATAAATAATCAGGATTCAGTCATTGTGAAGTTTTCTATTGGTGCCGACATTTCGACCCAACCATTTGGGTCATCATCAGGCCATGTTTCGAGCACTGAACGTGTTGGAAAATGTAACTGTTAAAAGTATAGCTTGAAACGTCGGCACCAATAAAAACCTCAAAATGACTGCGTCCTAACTATTTATCACCCGTAAATTATTCTTTGTATTTCGATATGTCGCGTGATCTACTTTTCTTTGTATTTTTTATTGAAATAATTACACTATGAGTTAAGAATCCATAAATAGTTAATAGAAACCGGAGGAAAATAAAGTTTTGTTGTACATCGATGCATAAACTTAAAGCAATTTTTAAAAGGAGATGGGTCAGGATTGTACAGTTTATTTTATCAAACTGAGATTTTAGTTTTTTTCTAGTTTTATATTTCTTTGTAAAACTATCTCTCAGGTTATCAAAATGGGTTCTAGCTTATCAGAATATTATATTTATGAAATATAATATAATAGATCGTCGAATAATAGGATCCGCCAATTACAACTATGAACGAACTTTTGAGAATGTCAATAAAATTATCATATTAATAAACGTTTGTGTTTGTTTAGAAACTATCTGTAGTTGTAGTTTTAAAAAATCAATTTAACTTTCTGAAATTATTATTATAAATATGGTAGATATATTTTTCTATTCGTCTGTTTATAGTTAGATAAGTGATTTACAGTTAATGAATATGTACTCTATAAAATATTTATATGTAAAAAATTAAGTAATATAAATCAATTTTCAAATGATGTAAAAGTTATGTTGATCATTTTTACCAAAATATATTTTCTCCCAGAATCCTTCGTGCATAACCGAATTAATTGTTGAAGGTATAGGTTATGTCACCGGTGATGGATCAGGTACCCTCCCCCTCCAATCACCTGGACCAGGCCACGATATGGAAATGGCGGCTCGGCTATAAGAGATAAAGTTCACCGGGAGGTTCTGAATTATTTATCGCTTCGAAAACAGGATTGAGTCAAGTTGGGGAAAGTTGCCCTGTCCCGCGGTTCCTATCTTTTATTCCTTCTTCTTCTTTAGTTCTTTATCTTTTCTCGGCTCAGAAATCGACCTCATTGTCGCCTGCATCGATTATACCACGCTCTGGGGGTAGGGGTAAGTCTTTAACTTGGCTGGAGAAGAAAAAATGTTTCTAAAGCGGGACGGTATCTTTCATTTTTCCACATTCATTCGGTGTCTCAGTGCTGCTTCGAAATGACCAAGAAGTAAAAGAGACAAAATGCGTTTATTTAAATACTCTTCCTGGATTTTAATTTCTCCAACTGTTACATTTGTAGTTTTCTACAGTCTTATTAATAAAGAACATATTCCAAATGTGCTGGATTCATAAAAGATCTTTTTTTTTTTTCTATTTAAACCGTTATTTTTTTTCGGTTAGCGCTACAGACCTTGTAGATCTTTGACCGCGAGATGTTGTCTTCTAGATCACATCCCCATTCCTGATTTAAGTACACGAGGGTAACGTCATCAGTCCTACGTCTGGTCGGTGTGAGTTGCCTCGGGCCTCACATACCCGCGGGGGAGATCTCGGGCGGCGTGGCTTTCCCCGGTGGACGGTCACCCAAATCGGACAGTCACCCATCCATGTGCTAGCCATGCTCGGCGCTGCTTAACTTGGTTACCTATTGCAAGCGCCTTAACCCGCACGGCTAACCCAGCCTCATACTTTTTCTTTATTTTAATTTCTGCATCTGTTCTATTTGTAGTTTTCTAGAGTCTTATTAGCAAAAAACTTATTACAAAGGTGCTGGATTCATAAAAGTATTTTTTTTTTTTTACTAATTAAACCGTTTGTAAGACAAAGTTGGTTAGCTGCAAAAATGGTGATATCGATATAGAAGGTAATATATTTGAATACGTAAAGACGTTTATATATCTAGGGTCTACTTACTAGAAAAAAACGAAATGGAAGAAGAGATTAAGGTTAGGCTGAAGGCGAGAAATACTTGTTATTTTTCTGTGACAAAACTACTTAGCTCGCGCCTCTCGTCCTGGAACTTAAAAACTAGAATCTATAAAACCATTATCTTTCCTACAGTTCTTTGAGGATGCGAAACGTGGCCGCTTACATCAAGGGATGAGCAACGCCTTAAGGTTTTTGAAAATAAATTATTGGGTAGAATATTCGGACTGAAGAAGCATGAGTTAACCGTAGAATTTAGATGTTTGGAGAACGCTGAATTGCGTGAATTGTATCTGATTAATATAATTGAGACAATTACATCGCGGCTTTGGAAAAGTCTAGGAGAATAAGGATGGTTAGTTTGAGCTGATCTATGGCTGTGTGAAGGACTTGGGAAATTTTGATTAGGGCAGACTGAGTAGGGATTTAGGAGATTTTTCTCCACTGAAAAATGGGATAGCTGGGATTTGACTAATCGCTGTAAAGGTTTTGAGAGGTTTGAAAGAAGGGAAGTCGATCGGAAATCATTAAGAGCTGGTGGGTTTGAGGTCTTCTTCAAGGGGCATACTAGGGCAGTTTTCCAGGATGTAGGGAAGGTAGTATTTTGAAAAGAATAATTATATATATGATAAAGGATCGGAAGAATGGATGGCAATACAATACGGCTGTAATCAGTCTGACTGGGATGTTATCGAGACCGTAATCATTGGTATGGGACTTCTGAATGCATTTAATGAGATCATCTGGGGTAATATGGGAAAAAAAGAAGTGATCAGGATTAAAAGAAGAAAACATAGGAACCGGAATGGACCTGGGAGATGTGGTTGCAAGAGGGAAGGAGACAAAGTGAGCGTTGAGGTTATAAGTAGAAACGGAATTGGACTGGAACTGGGGTGTATTACCAATGGTAAGTTTTCTAAGAATAGTCCACGTGGCCTTGGTATTAGGAGAGTTTGATTAGGAATGATGATAGTAACAGGATTTGGCACGGCTTGCTGCTGATTGAGTGCTGTTTCGAAGCTGTTTAAAGGAGAGAAAATCATGAGGAAGTCGAGTTCGTTTAAACCATCGCCTTGCAGCATCTCTTTCTCTCATACACTATCTCAAAGCAAGAGTAAGCCAAGGAGCGGGAGGATATCGGATGGTCTTGTAAAATTGATGGACTCAGTAACGAAAGAATTCCAAAAAGGTTAATATTTGCGGTGTCGACTGGTAAACATCCGAAGGATAGACCGAAGTTAAGGTAAAAAAATTGCGTCATGGACTATCTGAGGAGACTGGGTTTGAACGGTGACCGGTGGTAGGAAGTGCGTAGACAGTGTTTTGTGGTGTCGGCATTGAAGTTTCGCTAAGCCTTTTATTATTATTTACATTTATATGATGTCTGCTACTGAGACTGCTGAGCACATTACCATAAACTACACCGCCTTTGAGTCGCTAAGGGCCAAATTTGTGAGGGAGACCGGTCTCTATGTGCTCACACAGAACAATTTTCTTACGGAAGAAAACTACCCGTACCAAAAAGAAATTGTGTACGGGTGGAAAGAAGCCATTGGACCCGCAACCTCGCAAGAAGAGGACCCGCGCCAGGGAAGCCGCTGGAACAAGAGGAGCCGAATAAGGCCATAGCAAATCTACACATGAAGATTAGTCTCGTCAGGCAGCTATGCAGTGACGTAACAACCCAGTTCTGCAGAACCCGTATTGCCTCAATGGCACGGTAGGGTTCAAATAAATAAATAAATTTTATATAGTGTCTAAGGAATTTATTTATGCCATTATGCTTGTTTTTTTCTCTTAGAAATAATAATCTGAACCTATTTTAACCAGAGAGGGAAGGTCGAGATACATATCTTATTATAAACTTATCGTGACTGTTACCTGAGCTGAGGGTGATTGGGGCGGGGGCGACTCCGGAGCCGACGAGGGCGGGGAGTGGACCTCCTCCCTCCGGAGGGCGCTGACTCGCTCCTGACCAGGACGATCCGGGGTGCCGCGCTCGCCAGGTGCGTTCTTCATCTGCCGCTTGATCTTGGTGATCTCGTCCTCCTCGCTCACCTGTCGCTGCGCCACTGCAATGATAACCAAATGAATTAATATTTTGTTTTCCTTGCTCTATTCCAATAGTTCATTATTAAAAATCATAAACCTGAATATATACAATAAATAGTAATATATTTTGATTAAAAAAAAAAATCGACTACAGAAATTGGAAAATCCTATCCACCTTTAAGAAATATACTTCCATATCTATTTAAACATCTTTGTACATTGGTAAGGAAATTGACATCTACTAATATTTATACTAGACATAATGTATTTCTTCCTATGTATCGGGATGTCGCGGTGCATGTCATCATCCCAAAGTGTATTGAGGTGTGATTGGAACTTCTCTACAAAATTTAAATATTTGTATTGAGCTATGGGGCTCCACTAAACCATCGAATTCCTCTCGCATCCAATCCTTACAATCCAAAATCCTTCGTAAAATGCTCCTTACTTTGTCACTAATAAAATAATCCATAAAGACCTCCATGTTCCATATGTTTCTGATTTGGCCAAATCCAGATACCTATCCTTCCATAATAAACTTCATAACCATCCGAATCCTCTTGTTTCTAACCTTGCTTCCTCTTCGATTCCTGATAACCCTCCGAGGCGTCTGAAAAGAAGATGGCCTCGTGATCTTCTCATGTAGACAAATTATTAGAGTGCTACCTGTGGGTAGTTCCTCAACAAACGTGTTTCATGTAATAATATTTCTCTTTACAAATTTACTAGATGTATTCATACTAATACAGTTGTAAATATCATAATAAAAGTTTAAAAAAATATATATATATATTTGTTGAAGTCGATTTCCATATCAATCTACCAAGATGTTTGAGTAGGTAAGGAAGGATAAAATTGATGCCTATTTCATTTTACGTTTACCAATCACTAAATTCCCTCCAAATGTGAGCTAAATCGAATTTGAAGTTTTAGAGATATAGGCATATCAAGGAAACACGTTTACGCGTATATAAAAAAAAAAAAGGAATGTGTAGAATTCAATAAAATGGACCCTTCATTATTTTTGCCAATGAAATATTGGTATATCTACAAAATTGCGTTTGCGCTTGCGTAAGTGGAAGTGCTGGTTAAAATTTAATGAAATTGATATGGGACCATCTAGAAACCAACCCGCAAAATTCCTGAAAATTTCATGAAAATAAACGGTAGTAGGTGATATGCTTACAGACAGGCAAACAGTCACCAAACCAAATTTGATCATTGATGTCAGAAACGTAAAACGTGAGCGGAAATTTTCGATTCTAACTATATAATTTTTTTACTACATTCGGTAGTGAGGAAGCGAAATTAAAGGTTCTTTAGAGGAAGCTAATATTGAAAATTAGTCATTTAAGCCCTGTTATAGAGCATCAATGAGGATAAGATTATATAAAGTACCACTTTCGGTTTACTGATTTTGACGAAAATGTTGCTGTAACGTCCAAGGTTTATACAGACCTTCGTTCGTTTTTGAGATAAGCTGTTCACATACATACATACACAGACCATTTTGCTAGACTTAGTTATTTGGACTCAGGGTATCTCAAAACGTGAATTTCCGTTGAAAACTCAGATTCGAAAAATTTCACGATCGCAATACTTACACTTTAATACATGTATAGGTAAGTGGAAGTAATAATACAAGACAAGAAGACCGGCAACTTACAAGAAGGCGTCCTCTTGGGCTGCGGCTTGGGCTGCTGCACCTGCGGCTGCGGCTCCTCGACAGGCTTCGGCTTCTTGACCTCCGTGATCCTGGCGATGACCTGGGGGCAGTCGTAGAGCCGGCTGATCCCCGACAGAGGTCCCTTGGAGAGAGCCTCGGTATCCAGTGCGGTGGGACGCTGGTCCTTGGGCTGGTCCGCTCCGAACCGTACCCTCGGACCGCTGGTGTCGTTGTCTGAGTCCGTGTTCTCTCCTCCGTGCAGGAACCTGGAACATGAGAGGTACTTTAATATCTTCTAGCTCGAATGGAGACATTGGACAACAACGTTAGAATTTTTACTCTTATATGAGATATATGTATATATATATATATATATATATATATATATATATATATATATATATATATATATATATATACATATATATATATATATTTTTTTTTTTCTTTTACTATCTATCCACACCTGTCATGGTATTGACAATCAGCAGATGTGTTGTGATGATGAGGATAGGCATGAGGAAGGATAGCACTCAGCAGCACCTCTTCCTAGTCATTACTTTGATTTAGGTGAGGAGATCTCTCATCCAGCTCCTTTTTAGTCTCCTCCTGATGGGCATGTCAGTCGTCGTAGCCATGTCGTTTATATATCTGTTTGTGTGTCCATGTAGTTTGAGATGAAAACGAGAGTAGAGAGTACGTATGTGTTGGTCTGCAATTGGTTGTCGTAAGTCTTTATGTAAGGTTTTGTTGTTAACGTACCAGGGAGCTCCTGTTATAAGTCGTAAAATTTTAGATTGAAAGGACTGTAGTTTTTTTAAGCGCATCTTTTTTGGCGAACCGTAAATCTGAGAGGCGTATGTCCAGATGGGTTTGAGTAGGTAAGTGTATGTATATACTTTTTGTCGAACTTTCAATTTCGATTTAGAAAAAAGTGACTACAGTATTTGAATTCGCTTGTTTAAGGTCATCCTTCTGTAGAATATTAGAATATTATAGAATATTTTATGATATATTAGATGATTTTTTAAGTGTTGACTTCTTTGGGCGCGTTTTGCACTTCTTTATGGAGAGTGAACTAGATTGATCCATATGATTCCGATGTTTAACGGTAAAGTCGACTGGAGTTGACTAATTGAAGTGTTTTGTATATTGATTAAAATCTCTCAAAAACAAAAAATTGGACCTGCATATTGTTAGGAAGGGAAATATTCATCATTTCATTCTCTTTGTAATTAGCCATTATTAAAAATTGTATCTTAACGCGACACTGTGTTAGAGAGGCGAAAAAGGAAAAAATAGAGTCGAAAAACAAATGATAACGAGTTTTATTGAAGATGTGGGTTAAAAGATCTCCCACTAAACAAAAAATGGTCATATTAACAGAGTCTCTATCCGCCTTAATTAGTCTAGGAAATGTTTTCACATCTAATATCGTCATAAAAACATTCTGTAATCAATAAAGTCCGCAAATAGAAATTATATATCAGTATTTTTTGTCTGTTTCCCTGGGTATTGCAGAATAGCCTGTAATGAACTGGCTGATCGAGCTGCCAAAAAAAGCCATTACTGATGGAATACCTTATCGGGGAGTACCTGTAGAGGATTTTATAAAGATCATCAAACAGAAAATGAAGACGAAATGGGAACAGATATGGTCAAATGTAACCGAAAATAAATTGAGGGAGGTTAAGGGTGACGTTTCCTCTTGGGCATCGTCAAATAGGAATAACCGCAGAGAGGAAGTAATTCTTACGCGCCTGCGTATAGGTAATACACGCCTTACCCATGGATACCTGATGGCCCATGATTCTTCGCCAACATGCCAAACCTGTGGGACTTCTCTGACAGTGAAACACATTTTAACAGAATGCAGAGCTTACATTTAACAGAAACATTTAGACTATCTTGTGACTTGACAAACGCTCTAAACATCATTTTACATGAAACTTGAAAATACAATCTAACTCTCAATGAAAATAAGGCAATAATGACCATAATGGTTCAAGCCTTTAATGTACAGGGTGTTTCGTAATTGCACGGCACTCTATTTTAGGTATGTGTCCACTAACACAAAATTAACAAAAAAAGTTGATATTAACATATATCTCAAACTCATTTATTAAGCAGATATCAAAGGTTAAAGATTTATTATTTATCCGCTGGAAAATAAATAAACATTTATTTTTATTATTATTATGAGTTTTATTGAAGATATGGATTAAAATGTCTAGAACCTAAAAATTGGACCTGTATACTATAAGTGAAGGAAATGTTCAACATTTCATCCTCTTTATAATGAGCTGTTATTTATAGTTTATATTTCATATTATTAATCTCGCCTTGATGATTTTTTCACTTCTATCGTCTGGCTTAAATCACAAAAAAGTTTTTTTTTTGTATCTGGAGGAATCTAAACCGAGTAAATACTTATTGTTACTTAATCAATTCAATGGTAATACTTGAAATTGAAGCTCAAATTTCATTAAACGAATTACTGCTATCATTGTTCTTTATTTGTTTATCTTGGTTTGAATATCAATTGCCCAAGTTGGGGTACTGGAGGCCACCGAGAATATTGTACTATCTTCATCGACATGAGGAATAGAGGGATAAGCTACTGAGGGAGACAGGACAGGGGTCGTTCTGAGGAAGAGAGTCTGTCTCACTGAATGATCAAAGAGAACTAACTATCCATACCACAGGGTCTGTGTGTAGCGGTGAGTTGTAACGCAAGGGTGGTGTCGGTTCCCACTACTATCAACACCCACAGGCGGATCTACGGGGGGGGAGAGGGGCTTTCGGGCTGAAGCCCCCCCAAAACGGTAATAGATAACCATGCTGTATTGAAAACTATCTCTTAAAGTATTCTTGTTCGTGTAATTATATTTAATAAAACTTCAAGAACCACTTAAACACCATTTCATATAGGTAATTAATTTCTTTATTTTTTTTCAAATTAATTATCGTTATACGTATACGAAAAAAAATATTTCGGGCTGAAGCCCCCCCCCCAAAATTAAATCCTGGATCCGCTAGTGTCAACACCCGTATTTCCTAAACGCAAAGAATAAATAAGAGTATTATATAAATAAATAACTTGGATTAGTCAGAGAGGTCATTCCCTGTCAAATCAACCAGGTTCTGATCTATAGGGTATTGGATTTTGATATTTTATTGGTAATTTGTTGAACGCATTAATATAAAGAAAAATATGGTGCGTGCAACACACAACTTTCATTTACCGCTCTATTTGGAATAGAAATTATTTTCTGGCAATACAGAGCTATAATAAAATGTTTGAAGTGCATTTTGAACGGAGCTAAAGTTTATAGTTTACAGATAACACATCATTATAATTACTAAAAGTCTATTTATTATATTGAGGGTAGGCAATAAAAATCTAGTCATTCCATCTACTTTTATAAACCATACAACTTCAATCTCTGAGCCTATACAGTTGACAGAATGACTAACTCCAATTTCATCATTTTTTAATAATGTCATTTTAGTGATATTTCTAGTTGAAAAAGTTATTTATACAGACAGTGAATAAGTTGATTCCTGATTAGGTGATTGCTGTATTGAAATATAGAACTGTGAGTTAAGGTATAAATTTTTCCATTAGAAACATCACTAAAATTAATAATAAAGAATGTTAAAATTGGAGTTAGTCATTCTGTCAACCGAAAGCCTCATATATGCCTACAGAGCTTTAAAATTATATCTGAATATTTAATCTATAAATGATTATGGATTATGTAAAGTTTACTAAAACAAAATTGCGAGATTTTCATTGCTTTGCTATGGATAAAGTTGTCTCACTAATTGTAAGTGGATAATTTGGGGATTTCAAAAAGGGAAAATTCATCAAATTATTGACTAATTTAATTTTCTTAAAGCATTATTTCATGTCGTGACCTTACCTTGACCTGGTTCTGCTCCTCTGAGGTCTGGGTTCGTCTTCGTAATCGTAGTCCCTGTCTCTTCGCTGGTACCTCTGCCCAAACTTCCTTCCGGCCAGCGGCGACACCCTCCCGCTGTCTTCACCATACCTAGATGGAGATGGACAAAATATCTATAATTTTTATCAAGAATCCATCTATAGATAAGTTGGCATAGATATCGCTGCTAGATACCTCTCGTCAGGCTGCCTGTACTGGGCAGCTAGGCGATGGTCACTCTTGGACCTCATCAGACCAGGACCTGGGGCAAGCTGCTGCTGTCCGGTCAGCTGGTGAGGCATCGCTATGTTCAGGTCACCGTAAGTGCTCACGTGGAGCACCAGCTGATTAGGGTCTGTGGCCATCGTGAACCGGACTCTTCGAGTGTAGTCTCCCATCTCCGCTTCGAAGTTGCGGATGAAGTCCACCGTCTTCAAGAAGATGTCCTTAGTATCCAGGAGTTCCACATCCTCCCATTCCACGTCCTCTGTTCCCATGTGGCGGTCAGCCAGGTCGCAGTTGGACTAACAAAATTTACAAAAAATATGTTTACCAATTTCTTTACTAAGCATCTATTTGTTTGATATCTTTATAAATATAAATTATTACCTAAAATATTTTAATTTAAAAAAAAAACCGAATGCAGAAATTAGGAAATTCTATCCACCCTGAGTCAATATACTTCCTTATGTACAGAAAGATTTTGGTAAATAAGGAAGTTCTGCCTGTCTCTGCGGAACTGCAATGTAAACTAAATGAGTTAACTTTCTGTTTTGTTGTTCTTGGTCTATTCTAATGATTACTTATTGAAAATAATAAATCTGAATATATATGAACAAATAAAAACTATTTTATTGATTATTTAATAGTTGACCGTTGCATTATAAAGGAAGGGGATGGTCCGGAGTGTATTCAGCTAGGAGTTTCACTTAGAACTCAAGTTGAGTTCACTCCCGAGAAAATCTTGGCACAGACAGACAGACCAATGGCTAAAAATGTGTTTTTCGGACTCAGGGAGTTCAGAATAGATCTGTCGAAAACCGCATATCGGAAATTTGACACGATCGCAATACTTTACTTACCTAGTATAGGTAGCAAAGTAAAAAAAAATGTATTTATTGATATTGTGTATGTGTTTTTACGGAATTTTAGATCTTATACCATTGTTAATAATTGGCGTTCTTTTAACTTTCTGACTTTTTACCCAATATGCTTTTTAAGACAATATTGTTGTAATATTTGTAATGTGAAAAAAATATTTGTAATCAAAATGGAAATATATTTGTAATACCATAAGAGTAATAATGTTCGTTATACAAAAATGGACTCTATTTGTATGGGGTCCTTCTCTGACAACAAATAAAGATTAAATAAATAAAATATGATTGTATTCAATAATTTTCATGGCTACATTTAAATCTGTAGTGCTATGAAGGAACATAAAGTACTTTGTTATAGCTAAGAATCAATATAGTTTGGACTGTTGAAGTCGTATATTCAACTCCAGTTGATAACGTGTTGATTGTGAGGCAAAAAAGTGATGACTGAAGTGACATATTGTAAAAATCGATTGGCTTAACCGCTCTTTTGAGGGATTAGATTACAATAGTTCACTGATCAAACAGTGTAAATTAATAGATTTTTGTACTAACTCTCCTTTTAATTCATTTTGTCTTTCTAATAATATTTTTTTATTGAGAAAAAAAATACATTTTGCCTCAATTAAGGACATTGAGTATTTAGCTATCTATAAGAAATTTATCAGGAATTTAGATCTAAATAAACTGCACAAAATGACATCAACGAGACTTTCGTAAGCGAACTACAAATGGAGATAAAAAATAAAACCTATAAGGAGTTTTTCTGTATTTATTTCTTGTGTAGCCTTTAAATAAAAAAAAAATAAAATAAAAAAAAAACATTCATACGACATTGAAGAACAATAATTCAGCTTTCCAACGGATATAGTAACATCGAATTCGGAAAACATTCTGAAGAGTTATGAATGATCAGAAGGGAATTTTGTTCTACCAAGATAACGAACGCTAGGTACCACACCTCATTGGTCACTCGCAGTAAATTGTTCAGCCTTGGATAGGACCTATAGCCCCACCGTTCCTATTCACCAGATCTAGCTAAAAGTGACTACCACTCATTTCGAAGAAAAAAGTCATATAATGGTCAATAAATTGTAGATTAAAAAAATATTTATATCTATAATACATTAGAATTCTATTTTCCTCTGAAAACCGAAAGGACTTGTTTGCCAACCCAATATTATCAATCTTAGTATAGAGAATGGGAGCTTTACACATAAAGTCTACCTGGATGTTGGATATCTCCTGTTGAAGGTTGTCCTTCAACGTCGTTAAATTCTTAATCTCGACCCCGAGGTAGCGGTCTATCTCAGTCTTGAGGAAGTCTGTCCTGTCCTTGGCCGCTTTGATCAGTCTTCTGTAGATCTCGTCCACTTCTTCAGTCACTGAATTGCAGTTGTGCTGGAGTGCGGCCATGTTCTTCTCCACCAGGGCGAACATGTCTTCTAGTCGGTGGAGTGCTCTCCGGACCTGAAATTTATTTACTTGTGTCAGGGTGGCTTGAAAAATCAATAAATCTATGATTCTCTCTAATGATCCAAAGTATTGTATAACCTTCTATGATTAATAATTTTAAATACACTCACCTGATTGTTTATCCTAGCTATCTCTCTACGCAGGATGTCCATATGCGCCGCTTTGCACATCGGACACACATCTTTGGAACAATGGGAGCAATGGACGCAGTAGGACTTTTCAGTGCAAACCGCGCACCGCTTCATTATCTGTCCGCTTCAAGTAAAATATAAAATTAGTTTGTTACATTAGCATAACCAAGAACTGCAAAATACGTTTTCGTGTTACTCCGTACCTGGTCGGATCTGGCATCTCTCCCGTGATCTCTATGTGGAGTTCCAGGAACCTCTGGAGGGTGACGTTGGTGGGGTAGCCCTGTACCCCTTGGTAGGGAATACGGTGTTCGGCTCTGCATTCTGGACACTTCACCTGTAACCACATTTTTTAGTTATAATCTGAAACAAACTTCCAAAGATAAATCGTAATGACCATTTATAAAGGTGCTATTGTGAGTATCCTAAGATATGCGTCCTCTACCTGGAGCAAAAATCTCTCGCACTGACAGAAATGTAAGTTGGCCACGATTCAGCGGATGGCTCTGCTTCGAGTATCCAGATCATTCAGGACGGTGTCTCATGAGGAGGTACAGGTCTTGGCAGGAGGAATACCTTTCGACCTCCTGCTGAGAAAAGACTACTACCGGTACAAGATTAGGAGGGAATGCTTAGCGGCTCTACCGGATTACCTCCGAGTGAGAATAAGAGATGATCCAAGAAACTGGAAGAAGATCCTCCGGGAGGATACAGTAGAGGACTGGAACCGACGGTGGTTGACAACTCCGAAAGGAGCCACGCTAAGAAAGTACTTTCCCACCGTCGGTTCACGACTTGAGTCCTCCCGGATTACTGGATCTCACAGATTCTCACGGGGCATGGGGATTGCGAGCAAAGCTCATTCAGTATGTTCAGTCCCTTATGCCCAAGTTGTGGGGTACCGGAGACCGCTGAGCATGTTGTACTTACCTGTACCGTATATGAATCAATGAGGGCGAAACTGTTGAGAGAGAGACTGGTGTCTTTGCCCTAAAAGAGAGAGATCCTCTTCAACTTATGGCCAAAGACAAATACGTGCACTTTAAATGTTTTATATAGGATGGAAAGAAGTTGTACTACCAACCCACTTCTCTCTGGGAAGGAGAGGAGCTGCACTGGGTAGGCCACCAGAATAAATAGAAGAAAATCAAACAAGACACAAGTGAAGAGAAGAGCAAGCTGTGTGCACAGCTGAGAAACATAATGTAATAGTTTAAAAATGCAGCAGTGTTATGTTATGTAGCAGTAACATCCTATTACTGCAAATACCCGTATTGCCTTGAGGCAGAGGAGTGTTGAAAATAAATAAACAAAAATGGTAATGACTTGAGTTTACTATTTTTAAACTCATTGAATTATACTTCTCGAATAATACGTCTTGCTAATATGAATTATATTCGACTTCGTATATAAGAAGAACATCATTCCTCTATGCTCCAGGGGCGGAGTACCAGAGACTGCCGAACACATGGGTCTTCACCACCTATGGAAATACTAAGTGCCAAACTGATGAGGGAAACTTCTCCGAGCCATTTTTAAATGAAAATTATCCACATTTTTATGATGTTTATACATGGGTGGCAGATAATACATTCCCAGTCCACATCTCCTTGAGATGAATAGAAGGTATTGTTCTTTTTCTTGCAACTTCATCATCTTTCTTATTATAACTACATAATAGATATTCTCGGTTATCTCCACCTTTATCATATCTGCCGCGGCAATAACCAGACCAGTTATGCTTAGTTTGACTTTACCACATCCACTTCATTTTAGAGCTCGTGAAGTTACCGATATACTCTTTTGATTTCAGTAATTAACTGCCTGAAAAATATTCCTAATTGTTTTCCAATCCAACCTCCGCAAATCTTCTTAATCCTCCTTGGAAAATCCTAAACCCTCATCAAATTGAAAACAAATTACTTATCTACAAGACAATCCTGAAACCTATAGGGACATACGGACTTCAACTGTGGGAGACAAACAAATTTTATAACATCAAACGCATTCAATCCTTCCAGCCTAGAATCCTCCGTACAATAGTCGATGCTCGCTTCTACGTCACCAATAAAACCCTACATAATGACCTTAATATTCCATTTATTCCTGATCTTATCCCAGAAATTTTTTCCGAATTTCATCCTTACAATCCTCCTCGAAGGTTGAAGCGGCAGTGGCCCAGAGACCTTCTGTGAATAAGCATATATTGGAGTTTCGACAATGGCCAGATCCTCCACTCCAGCCAAGCATGAGTGATATCTACCCCTCGGACGTTTACCATTCGGTACAGCCAATACCTTGTATTTTGAATTACGCTAAATACAGTTTTTAATAAATATGGTAGATATATGGCTGAGAAAAGAGGAACATACCTGCCTCCTCACGTAATCCACAAGACCGTCCATGCAGGGCTCCATGCAGAAGGAGTGCTGACATGGCAACAGCTTGGGGTTCCTGTAGCGGTCCAAGCAGATTGCGCATGTCAGCAGTTGTTCGAACTGCTCCATTTTTTATTTCTGGAAACAGAAAAAAGAAAAATTGTTATTGATTAACAAAAGAAACATTTTCAAATATATATAAAACATCCTTCAATTAAATGAAATCTTACATTAAATTATAATCTAATAGTCCGTGGTACAGACACCTTTTTATCAAGTTATTAACATCTCCCTGAAACTTAGTGATTAGTTCATATCATCGCAACCTACAATTATTTCATTTACAAAAACTCTTGAAATTGGGGCGTCGTGGATATCCACTGCTTTCCACATGAATCGTAAGATAATATCATAAAAAAAAAATCGAAAAAAAATATAGCCTAAAAAAATATTGGGGCGTTTAGTAAATTCGTTATTTTGAAATATTGGGAGTGTAGTACACGCCAAACGGCTCAATATTTGTGTTGTACTTCTTTTTTCCAAATTCGCTATATTATCTTACGATTCATGTTAAACGCAAATAAGTATTTACGAGTTTTAGTACCTAATTATATAGACAAATTTTGACGATCCCCAGATTGATAACGCCACAATGCCTAGAATTTTCATCAATAAAATAGTTGTAGGTTACGATGAGATGAAGCTAGTTTCGAAGTTTCAGGATGTTAATAATTTGATAAAGCGTTCTGTACCACCAGTGTAGAGAAATTATTGAAGGATTTGTTCACACAAACATAGAAATCATTGGACGCTGTAGTTTATCAAATCAAGAGTTTTTTTTCGGCCTTAGTTTCAAAATAAACCAAAACTCAATAAAATTTTTACTGTATCATCAATATAATACATCATATAATACTAATATTAGCTCAATTGAATATTTAGTGAGAGGTGTAAGTTAAATTTAAGGCTGAAAATGAGATATTAGCTAAAGGATGCAGCTTAATTTTTCAGAGTAGAGTTTTAAATAATAAAGAAATGGGAGAGTCTGTTTAGGCGTTCCATTACAACCTCTAGTGGCACCAGTTAGAATTCGGCCTTGCCGAGTTAAAATTTATTTCGTGGTCGACCAACGAATAAGTCCTCAGTAAATGATTTCAACAATTAGAAACTCTGCTTCTTTAAAGTAAATGTTGTATAGTTTATTGTGAAGCTGGTGTTAATCGATCAAATTAAATATTTTTGTAGTTATCGCTTTCTATTCTACTAAAACATGACTCACTTAAAAAAAATACAAAGCTTGGATTTATTACTCTTCAGCTGAAAATTGGCCCATTATTTATATCAATTTTTTTTGTAGCTCTTGAGATCAGTTATCATCCTCTATATACTAAATTTTTGCATAATTACTTTCACTTACGTATATATGAAATACATAGTAAGTGTAAATATTGCGCTCGTGAAAATTTTCGAATCTCAGTTTTCAACGGAAATACATGTTTTGAGGTCCTCTGAGTTCAAATATCCAAGTCCCGCAAAATTGTGAGTGTGTTAATAGTCCAGCTCATAAACGAAAAGTAGTACGAAATTGATATCAAGTATTTAAGGTTTGTATATAGGCCGGATGTGACAGCAACTTTTTCGTTAAAATCGGCTAACCGGAAGTGTCACTTTATATGAACACTGAAACACATTTTTACAATTTTCTCAAAAACGGCTCTAACGATTTTGATTAAACGCGGTGTATCATCGTATAATTAAGTTGTCTTTAATATCATTTAGTCCTTATCCCCGTTGATGTCACTTTACAGGGATTAAATGCCCAATGTTCATATGTGTCTTCCGCTAAAGTACCTTTAATTTGGTTTATTTTAAATAATCAATTATCTCTCATTATTAAAAGTTATGAAAAAATACTAAATATAACTTTTGAGTGAATTTGATGATTGAATAAAGGAAAAAAAATAAAAATGCTTATCCAGGTCGAAAATGAATCTCTGGAAATTCTAGTCCGAAGATATACGTATAATATCGTTGGAAAGCGGAGAATTTTAGAAAAAACAATATCGAATATAGATCGTTGTAAAAGGAAACAGAGATTGACAAAAAAAATTATAAATAATATTATTTTTAAACTAATAATATTTAACATAAATCACATGTTTTCAAGGAAATTAAATGAAATTTACTAACTAAATGCAACCTTTTAAAATATTTTTAAGATTGAAATAAATATTTAAAATCCACCTTATAAAGGCAATGACATTGTTTAAATAACTATTTCATAGGTGTTACTTTCGATCAATCCCTATCCTGGAAACCTCACATCTCCCAAATTTCCCGTCGCACTATCTCCACCCTAAAACAGTTCAATCGTCTACGATATCTACTTCCATATAAGTCCCGTCAACTCCTAGTTTCCTCCCTTGTTTTTCCCCACTTCGACTATGGCTGTATGGTGTACGGTGGACTCCCGGGAGATTCCGAGGCCAAACTTAAACGCCTAATGAATTGCGCACTACGATTTGTTTTCGGAATCTCAAGGGATACGCATATTACCCAGTATTACACTGAGTTGAGGTGGCTCTACCCATCCTATCGCCGTCAGTACTTCCTAGCCACCTTTCTGTACCAAATTATTAGAACCCATCGACCCTCCTATATTTTTCACAGCTTACAATTCAAATATTCCATCCAATCCCGTCCCACCAGATCTCGTACTTCCGACCTCTATCCTCCTCCTCACCGAACTGCTGCGTTTGACAAATCCTTTGCAATACAAGCCGCCTCCCTCTGGAATTCCATACCAGCTGATATTCGACACGCTCAATCAGTTTCCTCGTTTAAACCACTCCTCTTTAAGCACCTACTCCTTTCTCAATCCGAATGATTGTGAAATATATCATAGAGAAATATCTGAGCACCACCAGAGACTACCTCAATTTATTAAGGTTATTTTAGTTTCTCATACATATGTACAATTTACTTGTTCTTTTTTTTTCTCTTTTCTGTATTTTTATCGTAAGTCAACTTTCATTGTAAATATACAATTTAATTGTAGCCACACAGACATATAATCTGTATTCATATTTTGTTCTTAAGGGACAACAGTCCCAGAATAATAAAACATTTTTTTTCATTTCATTTTCATTTCATTTCATTGTACTTGTGTGAAAGAAGAAGTAAAATATAAAATCATTTCATGGATGTATAAAGCATAGGTTTATAACCTTAAATATATTTACTGTAGTTTAATAATTTTATTAGAATCCATAATCAATTGTTCGTACAATCCATAATCAACCGGTGATGTAATAAATAGGACTTTGGTTATTTTAATGGTATTCATGATTTGTTAGCTGTAATTTTTTAGCTTCAGCTCAGTTAAAAATCTAATTCAAAAATTTTATTATAGCCGGACATGGCCAAAATTAATTTCTATTCAAAGTTGAACTTTTTTTTTACACAAATTTACGAAGTCTCACGCACAGTAACCAAAAAGAAATGTTTTTTTTTCAATACAAAAAAGCCTTCATTGTAATGTTGATAATTTTTCCATACAACGATAAAGGGGAATTTAAAAGATCTTTTCTTAAAAGAAGGTTTCTGAACTGTAACCTTTATTAATCTATCAATTCTTAACATTTCTTCCAGTCTACTTTCGTTTATGACATATCATGAAGACCGTTTGGAATACGAACTTTCGAAATGGGAAGATTGAATATGAGAAGGGCAGTGTAAAGTCGACATTACCGTAAAGTTTAGCTGTAACTGCAGCAACTTGAACCTCCGTGGGTTCGGTTTACTACCTACCTCTTTGGAATACTGAGAGCTCTCGATTTTAAGTTTTCTAGTATCATAGTATACAAACATCTTTTAAAGAAATTTAGTTTGCTTTAATAATTTCTTTATTTACTAGAACATGTATGTTGATGAAAATAAATATTTGAAAAGAAGGAAAAGTTTTGAGGGGAAAATTTCTTTAGACGCACTATGCACTTTTTTTGTAGGAAGTGAATCATACTGAGCCGTCAGACTCGATTCTGTAACGGTCATTCGGGCAAAGTCGGATCTAGTCGACTAATGAAGTATTTTTGCACATTGATTAAAATATCTCAGAAACTAAAAATGCGGACTGTTAGCTAGAGAAATAATCATTATTACATCGATCGATATCCCGAATAGTATCGAAAACCAAATAAGTATTGTTGAATATATGGACCAAATTATCTTAAAAACTGAAAATTGAACCTGAAACGAGGTAAATTTTTACCATTTTGTCCTCTTTGTAATGAACTATATATCAAAAATCTGGTGTGTCCACTCACACGACTTTCCTTCCTGTTTCAGAAAAGTTTTTATATCTTTAGATATTTCCATCAAGAAACAAAAAGAAATTGAATTAGAATTATTTTCCTGAAAATTGGTGGAAGAAAAGATTTGAATTGGATTTATTTGATGAACTAAAGCAATGTAAACTGACTTAAGGCAGATCAGTGTAAACATTTCAATACTCTCTAATATTGCTAACCAACAACTTTTTGCCATAGCCTAATTTTGTCAAACAATAATTTCTGTTAAAATTAGAGGAAATAGTGATGCTTGCAACAGATTTTCTTACTTTCACTTAGTTATTTTTTTGTCTGCCATTCAACTCTTTCAGACACCAGGGTATGTACCCATAATCTTACATTGGAAATTGAATAGCTGTAACTTCGGTAATAGTTGTTCGAAATGAACGGTTTTTGTATCGTTTTGTTGGGCGTTTCATTACCTTTCATAAAAACAGGATAAATGACGTTGAAATGGACATAAAAAGTTTCATCAAAATCGTTGGAGTCGTTTTAGCGCTACAAATTATAGAAAAACATGTTTTTCATTTATTGCGCAGCAACTAAGGCGTATTGAGCTTTCAATTTGTGTCACAGGCATTAGTAGTCAAAACCATACAATATAAAAAAAAAAAAAGCAACAAAATCGGTTCACTTGTTCCCGAGAAAATCTTGGCACAGACAGACAGACAGACCAATGGCTAAAAATGTGTTTTTCGTATTCAGGGGGCTCTGAAACGTACAGATCCGTCGAAAACCGCATATCCGAAATTCGACCCGATAGCAATTATTTCCTTACCTAGTATAGGT